AAGAAAGAAGAGAGAAGAAAGAGAGAAAGAAAGAGAAAGAGAAAGAGAAAAGAAAGAGAAAGAAGATAGAGAGAAAGGAAGGAAGGAAGAAAGAGAAAGGAAGGAAGGAAGGAAAGAAGAAATTAATTTTAACTTAAAAAACGCATGCCTACCCGCCGGTTTGTGAAGACAGAGTAACATTCTTTCACTAGGACTGTTTTGATCATCTCTGGATCTGTGATAGCCAACACAGGCTGTTGACCATCATAAAACCTGTGTCAGGAAAACAGAACCGATTAAATTTACTGATTCAGTAAATCAGCTGGGGCCACATCTGGAAGTCCAGACTCTCATCCTGAGATTATATAATCTTTGCTCCTGGAGATGGTGGTTGGAAATACTAGAACATTTGCTAAGTGTAGGTGTTGTGTGCATGGCTTTTTCCTATACCATTCTCCATTATATTGTATGTTTAAAATATTTTATTATCAAAAAGGAAGTTAGCTTAGTAAATACTTGAAGGCAAGTAAATTAACTAAGAATTAAAGAATTAATTATGGAGAGTCCACCCACTCAGTCATTTTTGAAGGTTTATCAAAAGCATGAAAATGCATATGAAATTTATAGACACACTGATTATAAATATGTAACAATGTGCTGGCAAATGGAAGATTTGGAATACTTTACAAGTAACAGCAGGGTTATTAAAGATTGCTCTATTTTCTAAAATATGCTTCTAGCTTATAATTTTTTAAAGGAAAATATATTAAATAATAAGGAGATATCCTTGGTTGCATCAAGGTTAGAAAAATTTGAAACAAGAACGAAGAGAATAAAGAAATTCGGAGGAACATGTATAATTCATTTAAAAATATTCTCTTTTCATTACTTATGTTTATTCTTCTACATGGGTCCCCAGGGGGCATCAGGCACCCACATTTGACACACATGCCACACAAAGGTGTCTGTTCATGTGTGACACGTCCCAGCTTGGCCTGACCACCTGGCTGTCAGAGTGCCTGTTCACGGGAAGGGGCCACTGGCATGACATTTACTCTAAGTTAACCTCCCCGTCTTCCGGCATTTTGTTTCCACTGTCAATCACTTGCAATTACAAAGCAAAATAGAAGATTTTCTACAAGTCACCTATTCTTCCTTTGACTTCACAGAGGAATTTCAAATTTTTTTGATCACATATAAAAATCGCTGAGAACCACTGAGCTTGTTGCTGCCCATTTCCAAAAACTATTCTAAAACTGAGGGTGGAAGAGGGTGTCAGGCGCATCTAGTGCCGAAGCAGGGACAGAAGTGACTGAGGAGTCCCTCACCTGCTCCCCCATCAGAGCGATCATATTTCTTGGAGACTCCCTTCTTCCCATCATGTTTTTTCAGAAACCCCTGGATGGAGAAGGGCTAGTGGTTGTGCGTAATCCATTACAGTCATGATGCCACAGCAGCCTGAATTTCACTACCAGTTAAAATTCAGGTTTTGAGGCCCCACCCGAGATCCTACTGATTCAGTGTGCTGGTGGGTGGGGTCAAAGTCTACATTTATAAAATGCTCTCCCATGTGACTCTTATTACACCCAAACATGAGAACCATTTTCGAACAAGAAAACTGGAATTCACCATGAAAAAGTGGCCCCATCCTGAGCTCATAAGTGCTAAATGTTGGTGCTGGTCCAGTGGCGATCAGTGCCACGTGTTCTCTCCACTCAGTGATGTTACCCTTTTGGGTCATTACAACTCAACGGAGCCCTATGGTTTCTGAGGACTTGGTGAGAGAAGATGAAGAGGTAGAGGGGCAGAGCGTTCTCCCACGTGCTTTCGGCAAATCATCACTGCATCACAGCTCTCCTGCTGCTCTCACCAAACCTCCAACGGCTGCTAACGGCCATCAACCCCCGTGGCGCTCTGAGTTAAGTATATCCTGTGTCTCCTCAAAGTCAGAGGAAAAGAGTCAATAAAACAGTAACTATATTGGCTTCTACTGGAAAGTCTTGGCTTAAAATTTAAAAATAAAAATAAAAATAACTCCTTACTTGTGGAGAAAATAAAAAGCTGAGCAGAAATAGTTTCCCATTCTGTTTACCTATAACCCCTAGCTCTTTTCCCAAAAGAATATATTAAATCCAAAATTTAAATAAGGAATTTTTGGCTTTTAATTATAAGTAAAGTATATAGGAAAGGTGTAATAAAATGCATTTATGAGCACATATTAGGACGTTCTGCAATAATGCATTTTATTATTTATTTATTAAGGGGGAAAAATGGAGATAAGAGGAAGAGTGAGACACTGGGCATAAAGTGAGGCTGGAGGAAAGCGATGGCCTGCGGCTCTCCGGGCCTGACTCACTGCAGACCCGCACACCCGGCGACATGGGGGCTCCCTGGCAGAACAAGTTCCCAAAGCTACACAACAGATGATTTCGGCACAAGCAGCTCTGCACTGAGGCTGCCCTCCGCGGTGTGGGGGGCCTCGCCATAGCCAGCCTATCCAATGCAACTTGCCAGAATACTCACCCCCATATTTTTCCATACTTTTTAAAACATTTACTGTCAAAATCCCAAAGGCCCTGCAAGGAGAAACAAAATTAGATAACTAATCAAATTGTGTTGAACTCTACCTCTACTCATGGGACTTGAAACCCATGAAATCAGGCTATTTCCCACTGGCAGTTGGAGAGAAGTGCTTATTCAGAGATATCTTAGGGGAAAGAAGGAAAAACAGAAAAGATGTTAGAAACAGGATTTAAAATCACTGTTGCATTTTCTCTGATTGTTGTAGATACTAAATGCTTAACTTTGCCTATGAATACTAAGTACCTCCTTGTCTTCTGTGAGAAAATTGAAGTTTAGGGAAAGTTAGGGTGGCCTGTAAACAGTTTCATCTTCTAGTCGAGCATCCTTTTCATTTATCTCATGAGCTCTCTCTAGAATTCTGGCAGAATTAGGAGGTTAAATACACCAGTGACCTCTGTTAGTCAAACAAATATAAGTAAGTCTAGGACTTTTGAATTGAGTAAGAAAATGAGTGAATGAATTAATCACAAAGTAGACTCACCTTCTAACTTTCCAGCTCAACACAAAATAGATGGGAAGACACAACAACTCCACAAAGACAGTGGGAATTAAAACACGTGCCCTGAGTTTTCTCTTCTGTAACTTAAAAAAAAACCTCCCTATTGTTAAGTTTCTGCTGTGATATTTGATGGTTTAATTATGCAAATGAAGGTCCTAGAAGTGTGGGTCTTGGAGTGCATTCACTAAGTTGTTCATATGGGGAAGGTGGAAAGGAAATCGTTGCCTTTTCAGAAGGATCAAAGTTCAAGCAGTTCTTAGGCAATAATGAGACAATGAAGGCTCAGGTGGGAGAATGAGGGTCTGAGAAACCAGCCTCAGGTCTGCAGGAAAGGAAGTCTGAGGCCGAGAGCAGCCTGCACACGAGGCTCTGCCCCTGGATGTCTGGGCACCGCTCATGAGCTTCAGCTCAGGGCCAGGCCCCGGGCAAGGGGGCGCCAGAGCTGGATTAGCATGAAGGCTCTGCTGGAAGTCACAGTCTGTGTCACCTAGTACATTCCGTTCAGTTAAATTAAATTGAGAATAATTCTGTCATTCATGTCCTTTCTAATGATTTTGTGTAAGTGATTCTGCCTTGTTTAAAAGGGAAAAACCCGCAACTCATTTAGTGGTTAAATATCTGAAGTAAATAGACAACCACCACCTTACTGTGTCAGTTTTACCCACGCCCAGCTCAGATGCCCCGGTGAGGTGCCGCACTTGATGGCACAGAAGTAGGGCAGAAAGCTCTTGTTCCGCCTCTTGAAGCCCAAGAGATGTCAGGGGCAGCAAAAAGTGGAGAGAGTCATGGAAACAGCTGCCGGCATTAGCAGTTGTTGAGAGAATATACGTACGCACACTACCCGATAGTGAGGACTCAGGGTGCCTTAGACACTGAAGTTACCAAGCAAACCAGGAAGAAGAGAAAAATGCTATCCAGGGCTCATGCTGCCAGCGTGAAAGCCTGACACTAGCGGTGAAGCCGTGACTGGGCGCCCCCTTCATGCTTGTCTCCTAGTGTCAAGGAGACTTGTGACTTTCTGGGAATTGACACCTAACAGAAATAAATCCTCTTCGTGATGCTTACAGGTTGTAACTTCAAGTCTTCTGCAGAATCAGCCAGAGAGCTGGGCTGTCTGAAGCAAAACCTGAGGCTCCTAACAAATAAAAATAGAACCAGGGGGTAAAACTGGCCATAGGCTGACTGGGGCCCATGATGTCACTTCCGGCAAGTGTGAAACCTCAGAACTTCCTCCTTTTATGATGGAACTCAGGTAGGATTTGCAATCATAAGAAGCAAAAGAGGGAGCTCAAACAACACACACCTTCCGGTAGGCCAGAACATTTCCAAAATAAGGCAGAGGTCTCGGTCCAGGAATCCCTAGCTTCTTAAAACGTCCATGTGAGTAAGTCCCATATCTATAAAGTGAAAGAGAAAACTGGGTCACAGGGCTTGTGGAATAGGAACTGCAGCTGGCCAGACACTGACTCAGAACCGTAACAATCAACCTACGGAGACAACATGTAGGCGATAAATAAGAACAGCAACTCCAAAAGCAATAATTATATTCACTCATCATCTCCTTTCCCACCACCACTACGAGACCCACAAAATGCAATGATGATTAGCTAAAAACATCTGAACTCTTCACGGTTCCAATCCTAGAGGGAATACTTGACAAATCTTTCCAATTTAGTTTTTCTGAGAGGTCTAAGCTGCAATTCTTCTAGAAATTCACTCATATTTATTTAGTAACTTAACTCTTAGATGACTTGGAAATTTTAAAATGTTATCAGACATAAAATATGTTGTCACAATACCTGAATTCCTAACATTACTTTTAAAGAATTAAAATGAGGTTTGTACTGCCCATGTTCATGTCATCAAGATTTCCTACTCTTTTCTACTGAAAGTGAAATTGAGATAGAGGTCAAGTGTGACATGGAGATGACCTGTCCTACCCACTCATTGAAAATAATTCCTCTTGCAACCTACTGTGTGAAGCCAGGAACCTCACATTGAAAAAAAATTCCTCTATTAGATGATTGTGATTCATCCTCCTGTACTGTCCTTAAAGGGATAAAATACTTAAAATACAAATTGGCTTTTGGGACTTGTGCCTTTGCAAGTTGTTAGCAGATTTCATATCATGAGGAAAATATGTTTCTATGGTGACACTAACCCTCCTGGAGACTGGAGGAAAAGGCTAAAAAAATGAATAAAATTTCAAGATTCATGCTTAGTCTCTTCTCCTCTACAGATTTCTCCCTTAGGGTTAGGTAGTTCTGCATAGTACAGGCTGGGGGAACTGAGTCTTAGTAAGGAATCCCAAAGGAGGGGCCCAGAAAAGAGAGAAGAGCTGAGCCTGAAGAGAAGGGCAATCAGTCTCTAGCCCCCAGCAAAGTCTGAATGACCAGGTGCTTTGTGTAAATGATGCCTAGGGTGGGAGGGAAGGGAGCAGGGAACTCCTGAGCACACAGGGGTCAGTCTGTCTATACACACCTCTTGCAGTAGATACTGCACCCAGAAGGTGAAGTTGAGACAAAAACTTAAGTTACTTAATCATGTTTCTAGAAACCCCAGAGCTTAAGAAGGGGAGAGGACCCCACTGCACAGGAACCAATTGTTTTAAATCCCGTCCTGGTGGATTTGGCAACCACCAGGATTCAGTAGAGTCTAGGTCCATGCAAGCTGGTCGTCAATCGGAAGATCATCTGTGGGAGCAAATAATGTCACTAAACCCTCCTAAACTACAGAAAATGGGAACTTGGGGAAGGTTTGGTTAGTCTTTCAACAGAACTGGGTTAAGATCAATAATAACCCGTTTGGTGCTTGTAGCACCCACCACTTAAGCAACTTTCTCTTCAATAACTCTGATCCTCAAAACAATAAAGGGAAAGGGGATCTGATTAGCAGCACAAGTCCAAGGTTACAGAGGAGACGAGCCTGCACAGATACTCACAGATAGAGCAGCACCAGGCTGGTAGCTAGGAGAACCCAGGTTTCCGTGGAAAAGCTTGGGATCAGGTCCATGGCCGCTGTCCTCCGTGATTCCCTCCCTGAGTTTCCTTTCAGATATGTGTGCTACTCTTTGCCTGCCTGCTTCCTTTCATACCCAGTGATGATGCCTTGAAGCTGAAAGGTTTATGTATTGAGAACTAGGTGGAGTTGGAGCTGCAATCAGTTGAAGGAACAACTGTGCTCCACCTGCAGGAGCCCTCTCTGCCTTAATAGTTGGCAAAGCATCATGGACGCTACAGTTTGACCTCCCTTGAGTTCATATTCTCTGGGAATTCAATAACAACTCAATCAGTGTAATCAGTAAGTCCAAAGTTTATAGAAACTCAAACAAAATCATTTGCCATTAATCTCTAAACTGCCTTGTTTCTGTAACTACCTAAACTCCAAAATACATGAAATCCTTCAGACAAGCTGGGTCTACAGATCTTTGCCCATGCAGTTTCCTCTGCTTACAAATCCCCTTGTTCCCCCTCTAAGGCATCTACTCATCCTCTACATTGCAGCTTAGAAAAAACATTCTTTGTCAGAGTCCTTCCTAACCAACCTCCTTGAGCAGAAATAACTACTTAACCGAGCGGGCAACTCACATTCCCCCCACCCCCAACATTCTATTATTGTCCTTTTATCCTCCAGAACCGCACATTCTTGGCCTCCACACCTATTGCCCTTAACAGATTGAGAGCTTGGGCGCAAACTGGGTGTTAGTGACCCTATATTCCTGGTAGCTAGCAGGGGGCTTTCTGAGGAATGGGCATCCAGAAAGGTTGGTGAACTTGAGTTGGTGGAGGTAAGACTGCTGGGCCCCTGTGTCTCCTTTCCCTGAGGTTCCTTGCTGACCATACCAACGTCCTGAATTGTAAATACAACAGAGGGCCTGGCAGGACCTCAGCCACCATCACGGCACATGCAGGATGATCCATCAGGATTCTGTCGACAAGAGGCCCCAGAAGGGGAGGCAGGACATGGACCAGGCAGTAACGGCTGTGTCAAGGGTATCAATTCAGGCAGATTCTTGTCCTGCCCATGAGAGGGCCCTGTAGCAGACAGCAGTTAGACAAATTCTCGACCAAAGAATCCGCCCCCCTCTCCACATGCCCTCCCCCCCCATCTCTGGAAAGGCGTCAAGTTCAAGATCAATGGGTATGAAGGGAGTGAAGGGGAGAAAGCCACCTGATGACGAAGTGGAGCCCAACCGCCTTAACCACCTGTGGTGAGGCACACATAGCTTGCAGGACTTAGAAAGGTGACATGAGGTTTCTCTATGGGGCAAAGTGGGCGTCAGAGTAGATGCTTCCCTATTGTTGACTAGACTGAAAAATTTTCACAGGTAGTGAGAGTTAGTAAGGAGGAGGCCTATGGTAGAAGTTGTTGTCATCTCAAGGGCCCACTGCATTCCTACTGGGGCTAGAGGATTGACGTTCTGAAATTTACACTGGCTCTCTGACCAACGTCCTGTGTCTGCCTGGCCCAAGAAATCACAGATCATGGGAAAAACAAAAACTCAGAAGTTCTTAAAACTCAGCAGAAACGAAAGACATTTAAGCTGTGTTTATGCACTTCCTTTTCCTTTTGTTCTTTCTGACTTTCAGTCCTTCTGTAAATGCTGATGCTCACCTCTCACCAACTCTTTCCCTTCCTCTAGCCAGAAATCCAACACCAGTCTGAGTGGGTGAATAAACCTAGCAAGGACCATACACCATGATCAAGTTACATAATAAAGGAGATGAAAGACTTATGCGCTGAAAAATATAAAACATTGATAAAGGAAATTGAAGATGATGTAAAGAAATCGAACTCAGATAGGAAGAATTAATATGGTTACAATGGCTACATTACCTAAAACAATCTACAGTTCTAATGTGATCGCTATCAAATTACCTATGACATTTTTCAGAAAACTAGAACAAGTAATTCTAAAATAAATAGGGAACCACAAAGGATCCAGAATTGCCAAAGCATACCTTAGAAAAAAGAACAAAGCTGGAGGCATACCTTCTCAAACTTCAGAAAACACTACAAAGCTATAATAATTGAAACACTGTGGTATAGGCCCCTAAACAGATATGTAAATCAATGGAACAGAGTAGAGAGTCCAGAAATAAACCCACACACCTATGGATAATTAATCTATGACCAAGAAGGCAAGAATATACAACGGAGAAAAGACAATCTTTTCAGTAAGTGGTGTGAGAAAGGTGGACAGCCTCATAGAAATCAATGAAACTAGAACACCCCCTCACAAGATGTATGGTTTAAAGACCTAAATATAAAACGTGACACCATAAAACTCCTAGAAGAGAACATAGGTGAAACATTTTTGGACATAAATACTATCCATTTTTTTTAGATGAGTCTCCCAAGGCAAAAGACACAGAAGCAAAAATAAATCAGTGGGACCTAATCAAATTTAAAAGCTTTTTCACAGCAAAGGAAACCATCAACAAAGCAAAAGACAACCAATGGAGTGGGAGAAAACATTTGCAAACGATGAGACCAACAAGGGGTTAATTTCCAAAATATATGAACAGCTCATAAAACTCAATATAATAAAAAAAACAAACAAACAAGCCAATCAAAAAGTGGGCTGAAAATCTAATAGACATTTCTCCAAAGAAGACATACAGATGGCCAATAGGCACATGAAAAGATGCTCCACATCCCTAATTATTAGAGAAATGTAAATCAAAATCACAATGAGGTATCACCTCACACCAGTCAGAATGGCCATCAACAAAAAGTCTGCAAAGCATAAATGCGGGAGAGGATGTGGAGAAAAGGGAACCCTCCTCCACTGTTGGTAGGAATGTAAATTGGTGCAGCCACTATGGAAACAGTGTGGAGGTTCCTTGGAAAACTAAAAATAGAGCTACCATGTGATCCCACATTCCCACTCCTAGGATATGCCTAGAAAAGATGAAAACTCTGATTTGAAAAGATAAATGCACCCCAGTGTTCATGGCAGCATTATTTAGAATAGTCAAGACATGGAAAGAAGCCAAATGTCCATCAACAGGTGATCGTTTTAAGAAGATGTGATATATCTCTTTGTACACACACAGTGTGATATATATTACTCAGGCATAAAAAAGAATGAAATACTGTCATTTGAGCACTATGGCTGGACCTAGAGAATATCATCCTAAGTGAAGGCAATCAAAGACAAATAGTATATGGGGAACCTAAAAAATAATACAAATGAATCTTTATACAAATCAGAGTCAGACTCACAGACACAGAAAACAAACTTGTGGGTACTAAGGGGAGAGAGGGAGAGAGAAATTAGGAATATGGGATTAACAAATACAAACTACCATGCATAAGACCGATAGCAACAAGGACTTACGATATAACACAAGGAAAAATATTCACTATCTTGTAATAACCTATAATGAAAAATAATCTTTAAACAGTTTATACGTATGTATATATATAATAATAACTGAGTCACTTTGCTATACACCTGAACTTAACACAATATTGCAAATCAACTAGAGTTCAATTCTAAAAGGTTGTAAACACTGCAAGACTGGTATTCGGGCACAATCTGTACCAACTGCCGAGATCAGCGTAAAACGGTTACTCAATAAATGTTTGTCAAATTGAGTTGAATCAATATAGTGCCCTCCACATTTATTACTCATTTGCTTGTATTGATTTTTATACTGACTAAATGATTAAATAAACCACTTTGCTGGTACGTACAAAGTATTAAAATACTTTAGACCAACTCTCTGCTCTCTGCTTTTGGTTTAATACCGACCCTTGCTTGGAAGACTCATTCTGCATACGTAGCAACTCTTTGAGGTAGATTCTGAGGAAGCACTTTCAGAGCCAACTATGAGTTAAAGATATTGAATGTCTACATTGATTCTATTGTTTTTAAACTTTTTTTTCTTTTTGATGGGGGTGGGGAAACAGGTTTATTTATTTATTTTAGTGGAAGTACTGGGGATTGAAGCCAGGGCCCCGTGCATGCTAGGATCTATACCCGCCCCCGGAAATCTACATTGATTTGAACATCGTAAACTTTAAAATCACAAAGGAATACTAGAGATTATCTACATCCACTTAGAAATAAACTGGAGCTACAAAAACTAACAGAATTTCCAAAGTCCTTACAGACTCCTAGTGAAATAATGTGGAAAAATGAAGTTTTAGCAATGTTGAAATAAAAAAATTATGTTTCATAATTAACTAATTAATCAACTAGTTACTAAAAGCAAGCCTATGGGTCTGTACCTCAGCTCTCAAGCCCTCCTGATTCTCCACAGGGAAAAACCTGGTGTTGCCATTTCGGGGTAACCAGGTGGTATCTAAGCTTGGTGGCTGGGTGCGGAGGTTGGTGGGGGCGTGGTGAGGTAAGCGGCAGGTCTGTGGACATCCTCTCTTGGCCTTGGAGGCAGTGGCCACCTCACCCCTGTAACACTGTATGTTGGCCGTGATCTATAACTGCTGTGTTCAGGCCACGTGCCAAGCCTGGAATACAAGACTCAGATCCTTGCTTATGAAGGCGAGGAGGTGAGAGGCACTAAACGAATAATCACACAAATAAATATTGAGCTGTATACTGGGACATGTGCCATGCAATAAAAGAACCACCTTTCTTAAGCTCCCACAGCATTGATATAGTTGACCTTTCTTTCCTTAGACTCTGCCCTCCTTTGAAAAATACGAAGACAACAGAAATAGTAGGACTTGATGCACTGGAAGCGTGTGACCTTGGGCATCCCTGGGTCTGCCTCCTCATGTGTCGGTGAGGAAAACTGTCAAGAACTGAGGTAAGAGGACCTTACCCCAACCACAAGGCCCTTTCACTGCTGCCTCTCTCAGCTTCTGTGTCCCTTGAGGGTTTTCTAAACACTCCCTCTCCCTTTATTCTTCTTCCTATATATGTCATTTAGGGTCCCCAGGTACCCCCAGACAATCGGGAACCAAGAGTTCCTGAGGGCAAGATGGAGAGCTGAGATGGAACAGGATGGGCCTGGGAGAAGACAGCCACCCATTTAGGACCTGAACTCTAAACTGTAGAGTGGTGTCTCAGCTGGGATTGCAGAGAGAGGGGCACACAGAACACACACACACACTCACACACATGTAATGAGAGCTAATAATTTTTGTTCTGA